GATTTATGGTTATTTAAGTTCTGAATTGATGCTGAATGATGCTGTATTAAGGTCAATTTTAAGCTGATTTATGTTATATAAGTTTCAAATTAATGCTGAATAATGCTTGAATTAAGGTTAATTTTAGGCAGATTTATAGTTGAATTTAATCTGAATGGCTATATCTGATTGGAGTCAATCAGCATCTATTAGCATCTATCAGCGTCTAAATTATTGCTGAATTAAGGCTAATTTAGGCTAATTTATGGTTGAATTTAAGTTTTGAATTGATGCTGAATGACCATGTCCGATTGGATTGATCAGCATCTATCAGCACCTGTTTGTGCTGATTGGAAAACATGGCAAATCAGCCGTAAATAGTATCAAAATCAGCATAAAATTGGCCATCTGATTTTTATCTGATTTGGACTATTTCGACCAGTGCCTATTATTGATGTATTACAATTCATCTACAGGAAATTGAACCTTACCGTATTTTGTATATCATTTTGTCATTATTAGCCTTTAATGATATCTATTTCTTTTAAAATAAACTAGTTTCATCATCTTTTGGTACATTTTTTTATAAGCAATTATAATTCCTATATAATTGTATTATCAACTTAGAATAATAGTTATCAAGAAATAAAGCGCAATAATATTTTCAGTTATTTCTGTCAATTCTGGATTCTCTGACATTTCTTAACTAAATATCAGATCAAGAGAATAGGCTATTTTTGCCTTTTCAATTATAACTAATTATCTGTTAGAAGGGATTGAGTGAATTAAATATACTTACATTTTGTTTTAGTTTTAGATATCTTTTCATGAGTCTTATTACATTTCTTATATCTACTATTTGGTAAATTGATTATATAATAAAACTTTCTTAATCAGAGAATTTAACTTATACAGGTGCCGATCAAAATTATGTAAACACTTTTCAAATAAAAAAAAATTATACAAAAAACCATATATTGGAAATAAAATAAGGTAAAGTATATTGATTTTATTGTCATTTATTAATTTTTAAAAAAAAATTCTGATACTAATATTTAATTCTATTGCCATTTGCGGCAATAACCGCTTTGATTCTCTGTGACATACTATCAATCAATTTTTTATAATATTCCAGAGGAATGTCCTTTCAGGAACCTTTAACATATCTTTCAAGCTCTTGGATATTAGATGGTAGGGGAGTACGACATTGAACTATTGTCTTCATTTTTGCCTAGAGATTTTCTATCAGATTCAAATCCAGGCTCTGAGTAGGTCACGGAAGCATCAAAATTTCAGCATTTTTATGAGCAGCATTGGCAACTTTTGAATGGTGTGATGCAGCATTATCTTCTTGAAAGATGCTATTACCACGAGGAAAATGCTTCTGTAAGGTAGGAACAACATATTTTCAAATTGTTTCAGCATGTGTTTCATCAGTAACAGAACCTTTTAAAGCAACAATTGGTCCAAGTCTGTTCCAGAAAAAACATCTCCAAAACATTTTGCTAGGACTGTGTTTTACAGTAACTGCAATGCAATCAGGATTCAATTCTTCTTCTGGTTCACGCCATACTTTGCCTTGACGTCCCTGTTGAAATTGTGTAAAAGTACTTTCATCTGAAAAAAACACTCTTCTCCATTGTCTTACTGTCCATTTTTCATGTGCACGGGCCCATTCAAGACGAGCTTGACAATGTGCTTCTGTCATTGCTGGTTTGTGGCGAGGCATACGAGCACCAAGTCCAACTTTTTTAAGATTACGATGTATAGTGATTGCAGAAATGGGTTTATTCATACGAACTGTCCAAACTGTTGCAAGTTTTGCTGAACAAAGCCGACGGTTTTCAGCATTTTCTTGAACAAAAGTTTTAAGCTCTTGTCGAGTTGGTGTGTTAAGGAGTGGTGGGCGGCCAGCTCTTTTTTTTTTGGTGTAGAAGAACTAATTTCATGAAGGCGTTTAAGAACATTATAAACAGCCGTTTTGCTACACCCCAATTGTTTAGCAATAGTACGACCAGATTGTCCACAATTTTTACCATAGATAATCGCACCACGGGTTTTTGGGGTAAGTGACTTCATGTTTCACAAAACCTTAACTAAAAATGTAGTCTAAAAACTTTATTTATTTTGTTTATCACATTAATAAATAAAAAATCATGTGATTAGCATAGCATGTGATTATTCGATAATCTGCATAATTCCGGTAAAAAAAAGTGTCCGCATAATTTTGATCGGCACCTGTAAACCTCGTTATCACTTTAACTGACCAAATTTCAAAATATGTAAACTCCCGTTTCCAATAGAAATTTGACTCCTCTTCTTAAAAAAAGCGTGGTACAAAAAAAGAAATCGAAGGGACATTGTAGATCAATTCTTTCACCGATTACATGGATCAGAAAAAAGAAGATTTCTAGTTAAAATTGTTTTAAACGCATTTTTTTGATCAATGATAAATAAACTTCAAATTATTTGCGAAATTAACAATACATTATAATAAATTATGATGTCACAATACTGAATTTTTAGTCATAAAAAGAAATCTTTTCAAAAGAAATATAAATACAGTCAATCCTTTGTATTTGAAAATATATATATTAACTAAAAATTAATAACCACAATAAAATTTATTTACTCGATAATCTTCCATTTTAAATAAATTTTATTTTATAATGGAAGCACGAACGATACCAACATCGGAAATGACAGCACCTTCAATTATCCAATGGCCAGAGAATACAACTCGATCATTAATTTGTAACGTCGACATCATCACCGATTATGAGCAAGGTTACGAGAATTCCAGACGCTTATTACGGGAAGGATATACCATTAGAAATCTAAATACATATGAAAGGATGTTTTTTAATGAAATTGTTGATGAATTTTGGTACAAACACGTAAATAATTATTCAATATAATTCATTATTTTAAACGTGATAATAAGTTTACAACATTTATTTTATTCTTTTGACCGACTCGGACGAGATTTGCATGTAGATCGACGTCGAACGACTACCGCCAAAAGAAGACCTCCACGATCACGTTCCCGTTCTCATTCACGATCTCGTAATAGAGATCGTAGAAGGGATTATCGATCATAATACCATAGGAGACATCATCATTCTAGGGATTGGAATCGATTTCGATATTTAGGATCGATTTGAGAATCGATTTAATCGTGATTATCGTTTCTCCAAGATTCGACTCCATTTCGATTTCGATTAATCGAATATAATCGATTCATTTAGTTAGGTGCTTGAGAACACTCTAAATAAATTAAATCCGGAAAGTAAAAATAAAATAATTAAATTAAAAAAAAATAGGAGATATATATATGCAAATTAAAAAAATAATTAAAAAATATTAAAAATAAAATTAAATATTAGAACGCTCACGGTCATGACTGGTCATAACCGTGACCGATATCGGTCGGTAAAAGGCATCTGACCAACCGGTTGACCAACCGATTCTGACCGATTTTGACCGACCGGTTGACCGACAAACTTGAGATTGAACAACCATGTTTAAATAATAAAATAATAAAAAAAAATTGTATTAAATTAACAAAATCAACATTTTATTACAAATGCATCGTTGAGTCCAGTATTGATTTAACGCAAATGACCATTTTCTTGAAAAATTTTAATGCTTTCCATCTTAATTATTTATAAATTAAAAATTTTGAAATTTTGAAAAAAAAAAAATTAAAAAATCCGCGATAATTGCTGCGCCACTAAATAAAAATGACAAAGTAGTTTTAAAAAATGCCATGCTAGAATTTTTAACGTTAAAGCAAGGATCAAATAATAATATTAAAAGCCCTTTATTTGCTCAATTATATTACTATTAACCGTCGGTCAACTGGTCAGTTAAAATCGGTCAGTTAACCGGTCGGTCGGTCAATGGCCTTTGACCAACCGTTGACCGACCACGACCGACCGTTACCATCCCTACGCGCGATTATAAAAAAAAAAAAATTTTTTAAAAAATCGCGGGCGAACATTAAACATTAAATGAAAAAAATTTTAAAAATAAAAACCGCGATTATAAAATAATTTGTATTATTTTTTTTAATTTTCTGTTAATTTTTTTTTAATAAATTACATTTAAAAAAAAAAAAAATAAATTATAAAATTAAAGAATTAAATTATTTAAAATTAAAAAAAATCAATTAATAAATTAAATTTATCAATTAAATAATAATTTATAATTACATCAATTACGAGTTAATGTTAGAATTGGATTAGGGTTAGAGTTAGAGTCGGATATGATTTATAAAACGATGATTTAGTGTTAAGATTAGGGATAGTTTAGAGTTAGAGTTGGATTATTTATAAAAAAAATATCAATACAATAAATTGTATTACTTATTTTAAATTTTGATATGCTAAAACCTTAAAAAAATTATTCACGTCAAGTTAGCTACCCCCCCCCGGGTAAAACTACTAGTTTAATGATAATAATTTTATCGCGAAAATCAATTCTTTTTAATAATACTATAAAATTTATATCATTTTATGATTTAATATTTATTAATATTTTGTTTGTTAAATTATTGGACATGAATAAAAAAAAAATTTACATTCGTTATTATATTATGTAACTACAATCTAATACAACTTCCACTTCATATACAGTAGATAGACACTTTTTAATGTGCTGAGCATTATGTATGTCCAATTCGATTTTTTATACGATTATCGATTAAAATCTATTTCGATTCGATTTTCGATTAATT